TTTTTTTTTTTTTTTTTTTGAGACAGTCTCAAGATGTCCCCTGGGTAGAGTGCCACAACATCACAGTTCATAGCAAACTCCAACTCTTGGGCTCAAGCAATCCTCTTGTCTTAGTTTTTCTAATTTTAGTAGAGTTAGGGTATCGCTTTTGCTCAGGCTGTTCTCACACTCCTGAGCTCAAGCAATCCACCTGCCTCAGCCTCCCAGTGTGAGAGGTTTACAGGTGTGAGCCACCATGCCCGGCCCAGTTTTAGAGATGCTTAATCAGCTAATGCATTTCCCACCATCAGGCTGTTCTTCCTGCCTGTCCCATAGGGAATCTCTGAGATCAGGGATAAAACTTGATTTCTGCCCTAAGCGTTCATAAATCCCAAAATGAGACAATAAGCCAAAAACTGTTCATTTCTGAATCATCTCCATGAATATGAATATTTTAAAAAATCATTTACAAGTAAAGATTATCAGAATAGCAGCCCAAAGAAGACATGTGATGCAAGCATTGTGTGCAAAGCACAGTATGACCCTTCCTCTTCCTTTGGGCTCACAGGGGCAAGACCCAAAGCAGAAAGGTTCACAGCATTTCTAGTCTCAATGACACTCAGAAGCATAAGGATCCCCACCAATAGTTCTGTTGATTGAGGATTACAGAAGTTAAGCAAGTTTTAAATGACAAAGAATGTTCAAACTGGGATCTGATTCAAGAGGACCACCTTAGTATAATTCAGGTACTGTAGTTATTGACACTACTATATTTCAAAGAAGAAAACAAAAATCTGTAATCTCAGCAACTCCATTTATGATGAGACAAAGAGCATAAATAACATGATAGAAACTTTGGCGATACCAAAAGAGCATATGGTGCACTTAAGTCTAATTAGGGGAAAAAAGCAATAATGATTATGGCATTTCTGATGTTCAGGTAACTTGACTTCTAGGAAGTAAAAGAAGAGGCTTTGTGTTCAGCATTCACTACAAGTCATTAAGACACATCTGCTATTTATTTGCCTCCAAAGGAAAGGTGAAGCCTTCCTAGAGTGACTTCTGGGAAGACTACATGTCTGTCAAACACTTTGAAAAATATCAGCGTTATATTTATTAGCTGTCAGAGGACAGTCTGACAAGCAGTCACATTTCCAAATTTAGTGAATGAAATACAAAGATCTGTTTCACAATAGTTTGGGTAGGAAAAAACTTGAGCTGTACTGTACAGAGATTTTCTAGACATCTTTCCCCATCTGGTCTCTGAATTCCTTTGGGGACATAGAAGAATTGCTAAACTGGTATTGCCACTAGGCCTGGTGAAGTCAGTCTTCTAATATTTGTCATGGAATCAAGGAGAAAAACATGTGAACTAGAAAATAAATATGGAAAAACTAAGTTGGTTGTACCTCATGAACAAATACAGGCAGTCCCTGAGTTACAGACATCCCACTTACAATACCAAGGGTGGTGGGTTCAAACCTGGCCCCGGCCGAACTGCAACCAAAAAATAGCCGGGCGTTGTGGCGGGTGCATGTAGGGAGGCTGAGGCAAGAGAATCGCTTAAGCTCAGGAGGTGGAGGTTGCTGTGAGCTGTGTGGTGCCACAGCACTCTACCAAGGGCAACAAAGTGAAACTCTGCCTCAAAAAAAAAAAAGAACAAACCTATAGAACCTATCTCGTTTGTAACCTTCGAGTGCCTGTAAACCACCCTTTCCTTTTCTCTGGCATGGGTCCCATGACCAGAAGACAGACTGGAGCATTTCTCACTGTGGAAAGTCTCTAAGTGTCTGTCGTAAGTCAGAGAGAATATACTATATGCAAGGGTCTGTCTTCCCCTCATCCAAATGAAGTCTTTTTTTTTTTTTTTCTTTTTTTTTTTTGAGACAGAGCCTCAAGCTGTTGCCCTGGGTAGAGTGCCGTGGCATTACAGCTCACAGCAACCTCCAACTCCTGGGCTCAAGCGAGTCTCTTGCCTCTGCCTCCCAAGTAGCTGGGACCACAGGCGCCCGCCACAACGCCCGGCTATTTTTTGGTTGCAGCCGTCATTGTTGTTTGGCGGGTCTGGGCTGGGGATTCAAACCCGCCACCTTAGGTGTACGTGGCTGGCGCCTTAGCCGGTTGAGCTATAGGCACCGGGCCCAAATGAAGTCTTAAGATGATATTTTTGGAGGGGCAAAGAGAGAAAATGGGAAAGTCCTTGCAGACCTAAATATTTTGTATAACATAAAATACATGTAGAATGGAGGGTCTTGGATGCCTTTTATAAAAATAACCTATAGTGCCTCACTACTACCCCTGAGAACCATTGTTTTATAGAATTAGATAAAAGTATAAAACCAGTTGATTAAAGAAATCCTGCCTGCAAGAGAAGGTTTAAATGGTCAAAAGTCCGAGTCAGCAGCATTTATTCATTTGGTATTTGCATCAGTACTCATTTAGTGAACACCACTGTGTGCAGAATGCTGTATTAGATTCTGACTTTATAAATCAGTGGAGCCCCAAAGCGTCTCCCCCTATTCAGGGCTTATGTCAGTGTGCCCTGGCATTAAAAAGTAGCTTGGCAAGCAAGGCAAGTGCTTGCCAGATAACTTTATCTTATTCTACCCTAATGCAGAAGCTCTATAGGCAACATGTGAAGGCAAGAACAAAACATGCAGCGAAATAAAATAACTAACATTACATAAATTTATGAATTCCCACATTCTATTTGAAGGTCCAAATACTAGTGCTTCTTATCTTGGAGGAAGAGCTTGAAGAATTAATATTAAGCACCAGAATCAACATAATGTCATTTGTGAAAGTAAAGATTGCTTTGTAACATTAAAGAGTGGATGAGGCATTAGGAGATTATGTTAAAGTAGGTTTGAAAGTAAAACAGCATTGCCTATATCAGATAAGAAGCCAGTCTCTTTTGGAGTTGCCCTTGGTAGGGTGCTGCCGTGGTGTCACAGCAACCTCAAGTTCTTGGGCTTAAGTGATTCTCTTGCCTCAGCCTCCCAAGTAGCTGGGACTACAGGCATCTGCCACAACACCCAGCTATTTTTTGTTGCAGCAGTCCTTGTTGTTTAGCTGGCCTGGACTGGGCTTGAACCCACCAGCCTTGGTGCACATGGCTGGTGCCATAACCACTGTGCTAGGACATGAACCCAAAGCCAGTCTCTTCTAAGGGCAGGAGGCAAGGTCTTTTTTAGGAAAAGGGATTCAAGTGTAATTTCTTTTACCTTGAACCGGTTTTATCGAAACACTCTGATAAATGGTTTATTCATTCATTAAAATACATTTTCACTTTCAAAAGCCTTCTGTTGCAAAAGAACAAAGCAAAACCAAAGCTCAAACATCATACTGTGATAGGGATGATATAAGCCTTACATTTCATTTTTGGAGATGATGTAACCACAGCGCAAAGCAGCTGAGCACACTCTGACACTGCCGGCCTAACCGCCTCACTTAGCACTGCCTTGAATGTTAGTTCATGCAGTTACGCTGACTCCATATTCCACCTCTGTATTCTCTGTTAGTCCCTATGTTACAATTTGCTATGTAATCCTAAAACAGATCTACTTTTTCTAGATGAGGCAAAGTTATTAAAAAGGATAATACTGTAGTGAAAACACAAATGAATGGGCATTCACTTGTGCCAGACTCTGGATTTGGGGAAGAGGTATGGAGAAAGTCAGTCCTAGATGGAGTCTGCTTACCATTCCTAGGAGGGAAGATAGCAGACCCGGGTCTGACTTGTCCCTCCAGCTGTTTAATGAGAGCAGAGACATAAGCAGGAGCTTACCCTGGTGTGACGGTGTGACGGGAGGAGGAAGGAGTTAAGTGTTCCAGGCAGGGAACAAGCTGGAAGGTTAAGTGACTGGTGGGAGACAGTGAAGGTGAAGGCAGGGGAGGGTTCTCAGGACTCAGCCAGTGCCAGGCTTGTCAATCAGTTAAGGGTTGGGTTTACCCTAGGGGCAAAGGATGCTTTCCCTCTGCCGTCTGCATAAAGAACGGACTGGAGAGGGGCAGGAGGGTCTGGGAGTGGCCAGGCAAGTGAAGAGGCAGCGGTGGTCGAGTGAGAGCCAAGTGTGGCTGAAATCAGGGATGGACAGAGTGGACAAATGGGGCAGGCTTTGAGGGGGTCGACAAGGCTTGGTGACTGACTGGGGCAGAAGCGCGGTGGGTGACGGAGGGAGAGGGCTGCTTTCTGGTTTCCTCCTTGGGTGCCACTCACTGAGAAAGGGGGAAAAAGGCAGCTGCTCACGCAGACTCTGAAAACAGGCGTGACAGCATGAGAAGAGCCCTCTAATTCAATATGGCCTGAGGAGACCTCGAGGCGGCTCAAACCCGACGCTGGCTTGGGCATACAGCCACAGGTGTGAGCCAGCAAGATTTACAATTGGAGTTAAATGCTCTCAATTAGCTCCCCAGAAAACGAAACCACACTGGCAACCCAAGAATATGTAGGCTGCAGATCCAGAAGGCGACAACGGCCAAATACACTAGTCCAATAAAGGGAGGATGAGCCCCGAGGGCCAGCGCCTCGCTCTTCGGTCTCGGCCCCGGTCACTGTCCCTGTATCCCGCTGCCTCCCGCTTCCTGATCGGGTCTCCTGGGCCCCAGGCCCGCCATCAGACCACCCTCCACTCACCCCAGTCTGGCCCCCGACCATGTTTCCCATCTTCAGGTCTCGGCCCCGCGCCCGGCCTCCTGCTCCCCGGCCAGGTCTCTAGCTCTGCGGGCTTCAGAGAGGACCCCCACCCCCGTGGTGGTGGCAAAACAAAGGACCCGCCGCCCGGACCGCGCCGATCTTCTCTCTCTCCCTGCAGCAGCTGCAAACCCAGGCAGGTCCCTGGCTGCAAACCCGGGAAGGTCCCTGGTGCGGCGCCGGGCTCGGGAGGACTCGGGCAGCGGGCGCGGGGCCGCTGGCGCGGAGAATAGGGCCGAGGGCGGCACTCACCGCACAGCCTCCAGTCCGCAGGAAGACGCTCTCCTAGCTCCGCGCCAGCTCAGCTTCCGCGGCCCCCAGCGCCCGGGGATAGCTAGGGAGCTGGCCCCG